CTTTAACACCACTGCAAATTAAAAAAAAAAGAAACCACAAAATAAGATGGTAAAAATACATGTAACTATATCAGTAATCACAAACTGATTAAGCTCTTAAAAGAAAGTGTTGATGTGAGATTTTTTAAAAAATCCAGCTGTTATTATGAAAAAATAAATATAGTACAAATTAGTTGAGAGTAAAGGGTTAGAATAAAAAAATACCGAGGCAATACTAATCAAAGGCTTAAGTCAAATATGAAAATCAATAAAAATGATAAAAGATGTTTCCAACATGATCAATTCTACATCTAGTATTAGATGGCTTCAATTTGTTCAGTATAGATGTACAGCCATCAGAATAATAATCCCGCTTCACAACACCCACATTCCCAGTCTTTGTATGGCTGGCTATTTCAGGTTTTTGTTTAAATGTCAACCTTTTTCTCTTGACAATCTAATATAAACAAAGTACTTTCATTAACTAAGCAATCTAAATAAAGTCCTTTGTTATTCTTTATTATATATCTTGTTAACTTTCTTCATAGCACATTTAATTATGAATTATAATTACGTGTTGAAATGTTTTTACTGCTTGTCTCAACAGACTATTAACTCTTTAAGGGTAGGGACACATTTGGTTGGAAAACTCAATTAACTCCCTTTCAACATCTTAAGGTTTTACTGTAATGAAATCCAGGGAATTCCTTCTTGGTATTTAAAAGAGGAGTTTAAACCACATATTAAAGATCTGGAAGACAGGGTACAGGCTCTTCTACCATTTCTTCTACCTTGAATAAGATCTTCTGGTCTCAAGACTTAAGCTGTTCTTTTGTGATTTGCTTTACTATTCAATACAAATACAATTCCCTCAAAGATTAAGAACAATGGAATGATGCTGAACTTAGAAGGGACAACCAAGTAGGTGTTGCAGAAACAACTAGTAGAAATTTTAGAGAATATAAAATACTTCAGAGAACTTAGCTGATTCTTTTATCTATCTAGCTTCAAAGCAAGAAGCCAGGAGGACAGCTGGGTAGATACCCATGGAGGAGGAGTCAGGTTGGATCAGATCTTCACATTGCAACTCTTGCTTCAACTGCAATTCTGCAGACCAAAGTATGAAATAAAAATTAACATACTGGTGATAAAGTTTGAAAAAGGAGAAAAAACACCTGAAGGGTCATGTGCTTCTTTCCCTAATATCCTGAATATTAGGTATCTCATAGGGTACTTTGGTGACTTATTTTCCTTTCAGTGGAATTTTAAAGACAAATTGGACTTGGCTTTGGTATATGTTGAGGGACATATAGGAATCAGGGAGAAGTAATATTCCAAGTTTCAAGACTATGGAATAAACTATTAAAAATACCAAATATGTATGTATTTATTTTTTTTTTTGTGGCCAAAAATAAAAAGAAAAATGTACTAGTAGAGTTCCACTGTGTAATGATAAAATTATTTAAAATAATGAGTCTTCAAAAATCTATTATGACTGTGTAAGCATGTGAAATTGGATAGATGATGCAACAACGGGAAAGGGATGGCCTATGAAGCCAGTTAGACCTGGGGTTGATTTCTAATATTGCTCTTTAATAGATATATGACTTTGGGCAAAATCTTTCAAGTTTCAGTTTTCACAAATGTAAAATGAGAACGTTACCTATTTCTATGGCTGTTTGAAATTTAAATGAGATAATAAACTCAAGAAATAGCACTTCCTTCTCCTTTTCCTTTGACCTCTAGAATCAATGCAGTTCAACAGAACTCTCTGGAAGACAAAACTATTCTATAGAACGCACTGTCAAATACAGTGGCCATGTAACTGAGCATTAGATGTGTGATTGGTGTTACTGAAGAACTCAATTTGGCCATTTGAGACTTGTGGCTACCATACCGAACAGCACAAAGCACAACATAAAGCCACAAAAGTGTGTTTCTTTTATTTAGTACTTGGGATTGAACCCATAGTCCTTTACTACTGAGCTACACCCCAGTCCTTTTATTTTGAGATGGAGTTTCTCTAAGTTGCTCAGGCTGGCCCCAATCTTGCAATCCTCCTGCCTCAGACTCCTGAATTGACACTTTGCAAAGGTACACCATGTGCAAAGTGTTTCTTTGAGGCTTTAAATCCTTATGAGAACTGGGGGAGGATATAAAAGAAAAACAACAATAAGGTTATCTACAAGTTTATCCCAGAATGCAGTTTACTAATTAGTGTAGATAAGCTTTGTGGTCAAACACATCTTGATTTATTATATGTCTGTGACCCAAGCTCATTTACCTAAACCTTAGACTTCTCATCTGTCAGGCAGGAATACCTAGCAACTTCAGGGAGAAATTGTGAAGATAACAAATTAATGGATCTGATAAGAGTTGGTGCTTAACAAATCTGGTTTCCTTTCTCCTCCCATATTCATTGTTTGTGACATGATCATACTTTCCTCACACACTGGCCAAGTGCCTGACCCGTTACTACAAGTAATATTGACAAATATAGTTAACTCATTTTGACCAACAGTTGGTATTAACTACATTTGTCAATACTACATTATAAATTAATTTTTAAAAAGTTGAATTTTAAAAATGTATGACAATGAGAAAATATGTCTCACATGAAAAACAAGTCACAAAACAATCTAATTCTCAAACTATGATTGTGAAACAAGAGTAGTCATTGGCTAGGCATAAAAACTAGATTTTCTAGCTCTCTTAGGTCATTCTTTCAAGTTACTAAGATTCTCAGATAAGTATTACTATTTCTGAATTATTCTGGTACAAAATTATTTGAGGATAAAAATGATTATTAGAAGTTATATTTGATTTATAGACAGAAACTTGGTTTCAGGACCTTTGCAAAGTGTTACAATATTTTCTACTAAGCCCCAAGATGATCTGGCTACCTTTAAGTTTCCTTGTTTTTAAAACATTCTTACTTTATTTTTTAATGTGGAGCTGAGGATTGAACCCAGTGCCTCACATGTGCTATGTAAGCCCTCTACCACTGAGTCACAACCACAACCCTAAGGTTCCTTTTAATAATGTCTTCTAAATATCTCTAGTAGGCTACTGACCAATACTTAGAATAAAATAACTAAATATCACTCTTATGCTGTTCATCAGAACTTGGGAACTGGTGGGAAGTTAACCTAAAACTAACTTCACTGTTTTGAGGAACTCTTCAGTGCTCAAGCCACACAAAAGCAATCTACATTAGACCTACTACTCTTACCTTAGTTTTTAATTTTTGTCACAGAACGTTTGCCAATGAAGGCTGCCAAACTATATGTCCATGACTCTATCCTATTTTCAGGTAGTGCCAAAGCATAATGTATGGGGACTAAATGATTCTTTGTATTAATACTTTGTTTTATTGTCAGTTTAGATGGCACAAAGGCAGAGCTTTTTTGAATTCTATATTAAAAAGCTCAATCTATACAAAATTTTTAATCACTTCAACAGATTTTAATACAAATGAGGAAAAAGCTATAACTAGGTACAAAATAACGTGTAAATATTTAAAATTAAAAATTCATTTAATTTGGTCTGTTAAATACTGTACTTTGGCCCTATTCTCTTGTCCCATTTGCTTTTAAGTAAATAAACAACAAAAAGCATTAACTATTTCAGCTGATATAAGTAGGGAGACATCTGGTGTTCTTATTTATAGGACCAGAAGCAAATACCTTATAAATTATCTGTGACTTGGTTGGAGTGAAGGTAGATATACACATAGAAATACAACCAACCAAGAAATGTATGAAATAGATCAACACCCCAAATCCTTTCTTATTTCTAATTAACAACCAAAGTCCTTCTAAAACATCATCCAGTCACCAAGTACTGAAATTGGAAGTATATATTTGCAAATGTCAATAAATCTCATGTACTAACAGATTAAATAAAAAAGGAAATAATTTTGTTCCCAGAATGCCAACCCCCTTGACTTTAAGAGTCGGATGTGTACTTCTTCCAGTAACAGTTCACTTTAGGTCTCTAACTTTATTATTTACTCTTACTCTAATCACTTATCTTTTTAAAGCTTAGTATTAACCACTGCACAACCAGAATGTGCAACGTGCTCAGTTTTATGGGACACCAACAGGTTGAGTCTGAAGTTTATTTGCTTGATCTGAAATGTATGACTACACTGTAAAAGAAGAGCTTCTAAATCAACTACCCTACATACACAGGTCTCTAAAAGTAAAGCTCTAAAAAATCTTTAACGTCCAGAACCGATGGAGAGAGGGTCTGAATATACAGACAGCGCTTCTAAGTTTTTTTTCTCCTCAGTTCTGCTAAGGGGATACACAATAAACCATTATCAACGTGTATTCGGATACTTGTCTTCCTATTTGAGAGGGAGAGAGAGGAGGAAAAAAAAAAAAGAAAAAAAAAGGGGGGAAAAAAAAACCAAAATAAAAAGAAACCCGACAGGCACGCTTGCTGGGCACGGGAGCTCCACCCCCACTCCAGGGCGAACGTCCCTGCCAGTCTTCAGCAAGGTCTGCGTTCGGGTCGGTCCTCATCCCAGACAGTGTTGATCTTGCAAAGCATCTCCGAACCAAAACTGGTTTAGGAAGAGTCCGAGGTGTTGCATACGCGCCCGGACTTCACAGACAGGAGGGCTGGGACTTGAACTACGTGTCCCTAAACGTGGCCTTGTGCGGAGTGGTCCAGAGGGGAAGGCAGACGGGCGGCAACGCAGGGGGAAAGAAGGGAGAGGTGTGAGTCCTAAGGCCTACAACTTTGGGTCTCCACTCTAGAAGCCCCCTCCTGCCCCGACCCGTCCCAGACCTCGGAAAGCCCAGGAAAGGCGGGCGCCAGCGTGACTGGCGACGACTACGGGAATTTTGAAAATTTCAGCTCGAGAGAAAGCCGCGAGGAGACCGGGACGGGAGCGGACGAGCGCCCCGGAGACTGGCGTGCGCGCCGGGCCGGGCCGGGCGAGGGGCCCGCGCCGCCGCCGCCCCCGGCCGCACCTGCCGGCGCAGGGCCCCTCGCCCCCTGCCACTCCTCACCGGGGCCGTAGAACTTGCTGCCTTTGGTCACGTCGAAGACTTTCCCATTGACCGCGAGCAGGATGCGCGGCGTGCGGGACCCGTCGTACTGGCGGAGCTGCTCCAGGCTGAAGTCCCGCTTCTTCATGCGCGGCAGGGAGGCGGCCGGGCTCTCCTCGCCCGCCCCGGCCCCCGCGCCCAGACCCCGCCGCCCCCAGCGCACCCACAGCCGGTAGGCCCCCAGCAGCACCAGCGCCACCAGCGCCACGTTCAGCAGCATCTCCCCGCCCCCCGCCAGAAGCGCCAACGCCGCCGCCGCCCAGCCGCCCCCTTCCGCTGTCGCTCCCGCGCCGCCTGGGCTCCCGCTGCTGCCGTCGCTGCCGCTCTCGCTGCCACTCCCCAGGGTGCCTAGCTTCACGTCCCCATCACCCGCCGCCATCACTGCCCGCCAGCGCCTTCCTCCTCCTCCCCGCCCCCTGCCCGCCCCAACCCCACGGCAGGCCCCGCCCGCCAGGAGCTGCCCAGCCAATTACGAGCGCGGAGGGGGCGGGACCGGGCCGGCCGCTGATTGGGCGCTGGCCGGGTAACGTTGTCTGGGCTCTCCCCTGCCCCGCCCTCCTGCGCTGGCCGCGCTCGAGCGCGACTGCCCGCCCACCTCGTCCCACACTTCCCCGCTCCCGTCCGCGCCTCCGCTCGGCTGAGTACACGAGGGGGGGCGGGTCTGGAGAAAGGATGCTGCGCCGGCCGCGCGCGCGCACGGGCGGGGCGAGGCGACGGCGCGTGCGCGGGTTCCGGGGCGCCACGCGCTCGCCTTTCCTCGGCAGCCCCTCCGGGAGATGCGCTCCGCCCAGTCTCCCCGCGGCGCGCGTGCGCCCCGGAATCGCTTCCATCCCCGGGCCCGGGTTCGCGCTCGCGGACTCCCGCCCGGCCTGGAAGCTTCACGTGCGCCGAGGCGGCGCCGGGGTGTCCCGGACGGGACGCCGGGGCCAGGCCGCCGCGTGGTGTTCGCTGTGAGGCGCGGCGACGAGTCTCTCCCCGGGCGCCGGCGGCGTGGGCGTGCAGACCTGGCAGCGCCCAGAAGTTTTGGCAACGAGCTGGAGTCCTCGGCCCCGGAGAGGATGGGGTTCCTTGGCATCCCGGCGCCGCTCCCGGCGGTTTTTGGCTGCTCATGCAGAATTCCCTTAAAGGAGCTCAGACCAGAGGTCTCCTCATTGCTCCTACCTCGGTCTCCGCGGCGTGGGGAAGTGGGGAGATGAGGTGGCGTCCTCTTCGCCTATTCAGCCTTATTCCTATTTAGTGCAGCTGGGACGACGTCCTTTGGCCTGCTTCTCCATCTTTAAAATCCCAGTGTAAATGTCACCTCCGGAGCCTCGTTCTGGGCACGCCTGCTTCGTGCACTGGGCTCCTTTGACAGGCTGTGTCCTGCCCTAGTCTGTCCTTGTGTCTCTGAGCCTT